TTTTTTCTTTTTCAGATAAGAACCTGTAACCTGGTGTTCAGCCCCCTTTTGCTTTAATTGTCTGTGAACCTGGCCTTCGAGTAAGGGCTAGCAGCATCTACTTTCTTCCAAGTATCACCTCCTCCTTCTTCTTCTTTTTTTCTTTTTCTTTTTTGCTTTTTGAGACAGGGTTTCTCTGTAGCTTTGGTGCCTGTCCCAGAACTAGCTCTTGTAGACAGAGATCCGCCTGCCTCTGCCTCCCAAATGCTGGAATTAAAGTCATGCGCCACCACTGCCCGGCGTAGCACCTTCTTTATAGGGACAAATTTACAAAGCCAGGAGGAAAGTCCAAATGCATAAATTAAGTAGAAAGTACAGCCAGGCATGGTGGCACACATCTTTAATCCCAGTTCTCAGGACGCAGAGACAGGTGGATCTCTGTAAGTTCGAGGCCAGCATGATCTACAAAGTAAGTTCCAGAACAGCCAGGGCTGTATACAGAGAAACCCTGTCTTGAAAAATCTTAAATGTATATTTATATATCAAGCAATTAACACCTTCTGCACAAAAATAAAAACATTACAAATAAATAAAATTAAATATCTATAAATTAAATTAAATATAAATAAAATTGCCAGTGACTGCTAAATTCAACCTAGAAGATCCAAAATCAAGTGTTTGTTGTTTCCCTTAATAGGCTCCTGTCTTCTTAGGTCATCATCCATTGAATAAAAGAAAAAACAGCAGCAGCAGCAGCAATGCCACCAGCTACAGACAGTCCTGTTCTCTGTCTTACTGCTTCAGGGTCATTGATTGCGCTCTGCCTTAACAGCCTCCCAGAAAGAGAAGTAAGCACAAAAGGTAAATAGCAATCCCCAATGTAGGAATCTTCTAGAGCCTGACACTTGTACTAAAGTCTGAAAGCTGTTGAGACACAGGTAACAGAAACAAGCTAATGCCACTCTTACTGCTTCACACACACCCCCATCACATCCCGCTGGCTCATTCTCAACCACTCTTAGGAGCTGACTAAAGATCTGGACTTTGCTCATCTCTTTCAGAGACTGTGCTAAGAGTTCACGGGAAGGTTATGCGATCTCATTTGGGGAAGGGAGGAAGGGCTAAGAACACAAAGAAGTCCTGGAGGAGCCCACCGTGCAAAGCAGGCATGCTGACTTCCCACCTGTGGCATGTGAGTGATGGGGGTGTCACACAAGCTGCCTGTGACATGGTAGGTGGCTAAGTGTGGGGCACATAAGAGCAATATGAGCAAAAGAAACAAAGGACAGACTTGTTATTGAGGATGGGACACTTGGCAAAGTTCCCACTAAGCGCAGTAGATCCGATCTGTGAGAAAGAAGAGTCAAAATGGATGGCCAAGCTGGTCTAGTTTGCTTTCTGCTGCCGTGATAAACATCACGACCAAAAAGCAACTTGGGGATGAATGTATTTATTTCATTTTACAGTTCCAGTTAACAGTTCATCACTGAGGGAAGTCAGAGCAGTAAGCCGATGGAAGAACCCGGAGGCAAGAACCCTGGAGGCGCATTGCTTACCTGCTTGCTCTTTCCTTTCGTATATTCCTTTCTTTTTACCTACCTTTCTTCTTTCCTTCCTCCCCTCTTTTCTTTCTTCCTTTTTTCTCTTCTCTAAGACAGGATTTCTCTGTGTAGCCCTTGAAGGGACTCTAGACATCCCAGGCCTGGCAAACAAGCTTCTTGCAGACCTTGTCCTTCTCCCCCATTCCCTCTGCCTTGCTAAAAACCATTAGATTGCATTCCTAAAGTTAGCCCCTAAGGTCTATTCCCTTATTTGGCCAATTGCTCCTCCTGAGGCTGACAACCAAGGTCCAGCTATCAGAGTATTGAACTCTCGTCATCAAAAGCCCCCCTTGGCTCACTTAATCAACTTGTCCAACTAAAATTAAACACCCCATCCTAACATGGGTTTTCCCTTTTACACTTCCCTTTGCCTATGGGCCACATCTGTCTCCTCTCTATCCAGAGGCAGTCCTTTGTCCCTCTCTTCCTTGTTCCCTTCTCCTCCCTTGTCCTTCATCTCCTGTCTTTGTCTCTTATTCCCAGCCTTCTGTCCATCTGGGGCAAATAAATCTCCTTTGTGCTGAGAACTTGGTCTTGGGGTATCTTGAGCTGACTTTGAAATTCTCCACTGCCCTGACTGTCTGGGAACTCCCTCTATAGACCATGGTGAACTTAAACTGAGAGGTCCAGGTTCAGGGATACTTGTTCACATTGCATGAAGATGTATCTATGTCTCGCCTCACCTGCCTAAGGCATCTGGTTGTAACTGGAGGTTTCTCTTCTTCCTGCCAGTTCCAGAATCAACACTCGGAGGCTCATATTAATTATAAAAGTTTGACTGATGGGCCCGGCTTATTACTAACTCTTTTCAATGCACCTATTCCTATTATTCTATATTTTACCACAGGCTCATGGCTTGTTATCTCACATCTTCCTTCTCCAGTGACTGCTGGCATCTCCCAGACTCCACCTATTTTCCTTTATCTTTGCTTCTATTTCCCATCTGGCTCTTTTGTGCCTGGCTATTGGCCAAATCAGCTTCTTTATTAACCAATGGTAATAAACCACATTCATAGTATACAGAGAAGCATCTCACAACACCCGATTGCTTTAATAAGAGCTGAATGGTCAATAGGTAGACAGAGGAGAAGAGGCAGGACTTTCAAGGAGAAAGAGGAACTCAGGGTTAGAATCTGGTGAGGTAGGAGACGCCAGCAAGACACGGAAGGAGTCAGAAATACAGAATGAAGGAGAGGTAAAAAGCCATGTGACAGAACGCAGATTAATAGAAACTGGTTAATTTAAGTTATAAGAGCTGATTGAAAGAAAGGTTACACAAAGCTCAAGCTTATACACTTAATAATAAGTCTTCGAGTCATTATTTGAGGGCTGGTGGTCCAAAGAGTCTGACAAGCTTGCCCAACTATATAGGTCTGCCTGCCTCTGCCTACAAAGTGCACCACCACTGCCTGGCTATCAATCCTCTTTCTTACACAACTCTTGACTACTTGGCCAAAGATGACTGGGCCTTCCCAGATCAAACATTAATCAAGAAAATACCACACTGACATGCCTACAGGCCAACGCGATGGAAGGATTTTCTCAATAGAGGTTCTGCTCGTCCCAGGTAATCCGAGCTTGTGTCAAGTTGACAAACCGGCCGGCACACAAGGAGAAAAGGTGAAAAGGGATACTACAGGCAGGATTCCCAGAAGCCCACAGCTGCAGGTGTGCATACTAGACATGTGACCACCAAGAAAGCATAGGATGCCTGCAGGGAGAAGACGCTAGGAACATGGCCAGGGCCAACTCCAGAAGCTGTAGAGGATCATGGGAATTGTTCCAGCAGGAAGTGCTTTGTTAACATATTCTCCAAAGAGCAAATCTTCTGGGTAAGAAGCAAAGTAGGGAATGAAGAAGGCAGCAAGACCAGTTAGGAGACTTTTCAGGAGACTTGCAGCTTACTGTGCTCTCCGTGCGCACCGGGCACTGTTCCAGACTCTTAATCCTCACTGCGCTGTGTTAAAAGCTCTTGTGCACCTGTGTTGACAGGAGAACACCAAAGCTCAGAAGACCTCACTGCCAGGAGGCCAAATTGAGGACTATCGAGCAATGGATTAAAACTAGGCATCTGGCTCCTCGGTCTACAGATTTTCCTCTTCTATTTTTCCTGAAGCAGTCAAAGATGTGTTGTGGGGGCATAACAGGCGATAGGAACTCCCATGGAGAAAGGAAATGGAACTAACTGCACTTTTAAGGTTGTTGTAGTTCAAGCAAGAGATGAGATAACAAGTTCTAGTTTCCAAGGATCGCGGAAGGGATTAGAACCCGTGGCAAAGAAAGCAGCAGTGTCATGTCGCTTGACGCGTTCTAACTGTGTGAAGTGAGAGACATCCTTATGGAATTTCTAGAAATGCTTTCCCGGACCCCCAGTCTTGCCCTCCTTCCTCTCCATCATGAGATGCAGAGTATCAACCGTTTGCCGGATCAATGTCTGTTCTAACGCAAATGCCTGACAGAGATCTTCACACAGTGGCGACACTGAGTTCTCTTGTACTGGGTGGCTCTCATATTAAGCAAGAGACTTTGTGCTGAGTCAAAAGGTTAGTGAGACCTGAAAGAAATTGATGGAGGGGCTGGAGAGATGCTCAGCAGTTCACAGCACTTGCTGCTCTTGTAGGAGACTAGAATTCAGTTTGTAGAAACCACGACAGACAGCTCAGAACCACCTGTAACTCTAGTTCCAGGGGAATCCGATACCTTTTGGCCTCTGAGAGCACGTATGTTTGTGCGCACATGCACACACGCACACACACACACACACACACACACACACACACACACACTGAAAGAGCATAAATAAAGAGGCTTCGTGAAACCCATAAAGATCCTGCCTGCTTAATTAAGCAAGGCAGTCCCCCACCACCCCAGACAAATCTCCACAGTGTCAGCAGATCAGGCTGGTCTTCCGCGGACTCAGTATCTACAGACTGTGTTAGTGCCATTCTCTAAGTCCTCCCACAGAGCACAAAAGCTGCAGGGAACAGAGAACCCTGAGAACGGTCACTAGTTCCCGCAGCAGCCAGCTCTTCTTTCCAAAGTGTTGTCCTAAGGATCTACTCCTCCGCCCTTGTCCCGCCCCATCTTCATTCCTAGCTGTTCTTATTATAAATAGAGGCACGATTTTAAAATGTTCAAGAATGTATTATTTGAACAGACAACAGTGCACTGATTTGGAAGTACAAAACCAGAAGAGGCTTGGGGCTCCATCAGAGAAGCCCAGGAGACAAGCTTCTACAGAGGAAGCTGGAGTTAAATAACGAGTCTGATTGGTTGCAATCCCACAGCCCTACTTTGTCCATCCAAATGCAGAGTCCTGGGTTGTTAAGAATTTGTCAGGCGGCTATTTCAGACTGAGGGAGTTTACATTCAGTTTCTCCCTACCATAAGCATTTACAAACAAACAGGCACGAGCTGTGGTCATGTTTTCTATCTTAGCAAGTTTATTTTCAAGGTAGAACCGGCTTCATTAGCTAGGGAAATTTCCGGGTCTGGTCTCCATTTCAGTTTGCTTAAGCAAGTCTCCACTCTGCTATACCCTCGGACAGCTGAAAGAGGAACAACCAAATACATCAATGTTACTCTTAGTCATCGCCTTGGAAGATCTCACCAGTCACTGGGGGTCATGTAGGCATTATCACACTGGGACAGAGGATGTTGTCACTATCATTAACAGTGATTGATCTCGAGCTTTTGATCCTGGTGACCTTAATTTGGTCATTGGGTGAATGTCACTGTTGGCAAGGTTTTGAAACCTCAGAGAAGATGTCATAATGACAGGCAGAATAATCCGTAAGGACTGAAAAACTAAATCCCTGGAGAAGAAATTCCCAGACCCAAGATATAAACAAGTCCCCGGAAGCAGTGTCTCCTGGTAGATGAAAATCTTAAATCAAATTTTAAGATACTTAACACTCTTAACAGTCCCTGACTTGTGAACACATACCCAACTCTTTCCACCTCCCGGGAGTACCTGGTATCTAAAGCTCACCTGTCTTGCAAGTGTGTGTGTATGTGTGTGTGTGTGTGTGTGTGTGTGTGTGTGTGTAAGGTTGAAGGTCACATTGGAAAAGTTTGAAGAGAAGCACTGACTTCGCTGAAGCTGGTTTTCTACAGTCTTAGAGACATTTTCAGACGTCTCTTCTGATCCAGGAACACCTTCAGGAAGAACCAGCCCTCTGACGGGCAAGGAAAACAGGAAAACCCAGAGCTACGTCTAGCTGAAGGGTTGGCGCTGCCTGGGATTTATGGACAACCGATCCTGAATCAATGATTTTGTTATTGAAAGTGCCATCTGAAACTGCACCTGACCATGAGCAGGAACCAGTCCTGATCCATGGCACCTGTGCTGATCTGCGAGAAATCCTTGGACAAGGTTGAACAGTTTTGAAAATAAAATCCCTTACCTTTTAAGTATAAAGCTAACTTTTCAGGTTCTAGATTAAGGCAAATCTGGGATTCGTTGACCTCAATTTCCCTAAGAATTAAGGAGCAAGCAGAACTTCTAACTTCTGAATCCAGGTAGGGTTTGTTTTAGGGTTTAGGATGGAGAAGAGTTACTTTGGGAACATTTATCTGGATATCAACACAAAACACAGCTCAAGCTCCAAAGGGAAGAAGAGAGAATTTATTCTGAAACACATATGAGTGACCATGACACAAGAGCTAAGATAGAAGCAGTTACATTAAGTTTTTCATAGTCACAGAACAACAACAATGAAAACCCAAATTTATCAATCATTAAATTTACAGAATACATAGGTGGGACATGACGTAGGTGGATTACAGCAAAGCAAGGGAATCTCTGTTCTAAGTGTCAAATGTTACCTGTCTTAGCTTTGGGGTTGGTGGAAGCTAACAGTCTAAGTTACCACATTGCAGAGCTTCTACCTGATGTCCAAAGGATGTTAGGCCAGATACAAAGGTCGGTAATAAATGGTTATTAAGAGAACTAAGGCTAGAGAGTTGATTCCTCAGGTGAAGATGATTCTTGTCAAAACTGAGGACCTAAGGTCAATTCTTGGGACCCACAAAGAAGAAAGAGGGAGTTAATTTGGGGGATAATTATTGGCAGCCTTCCAATTCCCCCATTACAGGACTGTTTCTAGTCAATCTACCAGCCTATCAGAATCTTCAGCATAGGTGTGACTTTTTCTAGACATGTCAGTTCACACTGATGGTAGTTACAGGCAAAGAAGGGTTTTGTGTAGTTGTACTGGGAACACCAAATTCCAATACTTTGAATGCATTGTTGAAGAATAACAGATTCGCATGAGATGTTCCGAGCTTGATCAGTAAGAAAACAGAAAGTGGTGTCTGTAGTTTCTTTAGAGGTGGTGAGGAAGTAGAGTTGGGGAAATCTGATTAGCTGGCCTTTGGGGTGGTGTCCATCCCCTGTTGGAGAACCTGATATATTTTTACAGCTGTGCCCAACCAATAAGAGTTGATAGTCCAATAGGAGTCTGGTTCTCCACATCTGTATGGGCAGAAGCCCAGCATTCTTCTTGATTAGTGTCTCTCTTTCTCTCTCTCTCTCTCTCTCTCTCTCTCTCTCTCTCTCTCTCTCATACACACACACACACACACACACACACACACACACACACACACCACACACCACTTTTTAAAGTGTCCATTAAGCACTATTTGTAACCACTGTTAGAAAAGCCTACAAAAATGGAAAGTGTGATGAAAACAACTTGTAAAAAAGGTAATAGGAGATACTACCCATGAGTGAATGCCCACTATGAATTCAAATCATAGTTTGAGTGTGGTGCGGCCCTCTGAGAAAGGGTCTGAAGCTGAGAAATCTTGTAGTGCTGCTTCACCCCTGAGCTCCAGTCTAAGCAGGTCTGTAAAAGAGTAATAAAGGATTATGGTAGAAAAAAAAGACAGTATTCTGGAAAAAGAGAACCCAGATGTCTCAAGAAAAGAGCAGTCAGGGGGAATGACAAGAACAACAGAGATGAGAAGAGGCACAGATAAGGCACCACACCCCCAAACCTCATCACTGCCACATGCAGTCCTCACTACCCTCCTACGCTGGTGTTGACAGAGGTTCTGTCCTGCCCGATCTCACAGCTGTTCAGTCCCAAAGAAACAGAGGTCTACATTAATTAATTATAAACTGGTTGGCCTATTAGCTCAGGCTTCTTATTAACTCTTACATCTAAAATTAGCCCATAATTCTTGTTTGTGTTAGCCACATGTCTTGGTACCTTTTATCAGTGAGGCATTCTCATCTTGCTTCCTCCATGTCTGGGTATCAACTGCAGACTGACCCTTTCTTCTTCCCAGAATTCTCCTGTTTTCCTCACCCCACCTCTACTTCTTGCCTGGTTGCCCTGCCTATACTTCCAGCCTGGCTACTAGTCAATCAGCATTTTATTAAAACAATGAAAGTGACAGAGTACAAGACCATTGTCCCATAGCATACTAGTATTTGTATTAGTTAGAAACATATTTAGACAGAATTTGTGATACAAGGGAAACCCTTTGGCGGATGGTCACGTGGCACGACACTATAGGGAGCCATGCCTCTGTATCCTCTTGCATTCTGGGTCCTCTGGTTGAGTCTGTAGACACTAGAAAGGTTCAGTGTCTTGGGGAATAGATGGCTAGAGCAGCCTTGGCTCCTTAAGAGGAGACTATCATCATGTGGCTGTAACCCAAAAGCAGAGGGTTTCACAACCAACCTTCTTGGGCCTATACTCCAAGCAAGGCAACCTGGAGACAGACACAGAGATGGAAGGGGCTGTGAGAAAACCGTGTAAGTACTACAAGCGAAGAGCAAAGCCAGTTCCCAGTCGTAGCAGACAGTGTGTTCCAGCAACCAGTGGAAGCCCTGTCAGACAGGGAAAGAGTCATTGAGAAGGAAGCAGGTCTCTTTCCCTCCTCTCCATAAGGAGACTTCGGAGCTCATATGGAAGTGGCTTGACTTAGAGATCATGTTAACAGTGTTTACTGTACACTTCACTTTGGGGATTAAAATGACATCTGGTATCTCTGATGATGTTTCTACCTCACTGGACATACTTCAATCAAAGTATCAAGGCTTGATACAGGTAAGCAAAAACAGCTGTCTCCAGGTTGCCTGGACTCTTCCAGACTCTTGATGTCCCCTTCCTGTCCCCTATATAGCATGTGAACAAGAGAAGAAAGAGAAGCTGTGTCTGTGGAAACAGCCTGGCCGACAGAACTGCAGTACTGTAGGGAGACTGCAGTGTTACAGGTCCACATGCTGATTGTCCTGTCTTGGGCTATTCTTAACTCCCCCACCCCATATAGGCATCTCCTATCCACCTCTGTGTCAGAGCTGACATTCTGTGACTAATAAAAGGCCGTGGAAATCTCGTACTTTAGCAGACCCCTTGCAGTGACCAACACAAAAACAACCATGTCGTCAGATGCTATCAGATGACCTAGAGAAGCTTCCCCCATCTTGCTGTAACCCTCTCTGATGTATCCACCAATGTATTTGAATTGCCTTGCTTTATGACTTTCTTTGTTTTATAAACTACAAAACTTCACAAAACGACATTGGAACGTGGAATTTGGGGGTAACCTAAATCTGTGTCCCAGGTCACAGTCACTCATAATGGCACCAGAATAAACTACCTTATTCCCTTTAAGAAGAGAAATGAGAGCTGTGGGTGTTGTTTTGTTTTGGTTGGGAATTTGTTGTTCTTTTATTTTTGCATTGATTAGTGCCAACGCTAGAACCCAGAAACAGTGGCAAGCTGGGACTGAGGTTACCTCAGAGCCAGCAAAAACAGAGGCCTGGGGACTTGTCAGGGAAGAATTTAGATGGTGGCAGGTCAGTCAGTTCACTTTTTAAAAAAATCCTCATGCCAGGAACTCAGGTTGGCAGAAGTCAAGCCAGCCTGATAGACTCAAGATCAGCCAACAGAATTGTCCTGCCCTTTGTCCTGCAGGCAAAATGACAAGAACAAGAACAGTGTCAGAACAGGATGGAAGGGGGATGCAAGCTGGAATTACAAAGGGACTCAAAGAGAATGCCCTTCCTTCAGTGTCCTGGAGATTCGGCCACTGGTCTTGACTGCCATATAAGCAGGCAAGTTTCCTTTAAGGGACAGAGTCCTGGAACCTGTCCAGTCCCAGAGACGAAGTTAACCTTTGAGGCTGTGTAATCTGGCAGAGAAGAGACATGGCTAGAAGAGCACATTTCATGTTTGAGTGGACTCCATAGTTTAATAGACTCTACGGGGGAGAGAGAAAGGGGAAAGGAGGGATGGGGAGTGAAGGGCGGGAGAGGGAGTAGAAAAAGAGGGAGGAGAAGGGAGGACAAGGGCGAGAAAAGAAAGTTTACCAGCATTGATTAACCTAAACTAGTGGTTCTTTGCCCACTTTTTCACACAGCAGAGCAAAGAGGACTGAGTTATCTGTTAGACAGGAAGCTCCCCAAGGACTGGGCTTGGGTTTCTTCATGGTGTGAGCTTTCTGGCCTGGAATTAAGAAATGCCCAATAACCAGTGATGATATGGATGAATGAGTCTTGCTTGATAAACACAAATGATACATGTGTTGACCACTGTCCAGTTTGTGTGAGGCAACATACATTTTCCTGTAATTTGCACAGCCATGGACAAATGAGAGGAGTGATGGCGGCAAGGTAGGCCAGAGCGAAGGACTTTGTTTTGTTTTACCTAACCAGTGAGTGATGGGTCTCCATATATGTGGGAATTAAGTATTCAGCCCATATCTAGACAGTATGCACAGCAAATTCTATCTGATGCGAAGGCATTATGGGACAGCAGTATTTCTGAAGGGCAGCAATAGGCAGTGTGACAGATGACATGACTGTGGATTAGGAATAGACTCCTTTCAGTGAGCTGGATGTGTGTTAAATGTGTGCGTATACTGTGCGCCCAGACTTCAGTGTGGGTGCTGAGGACCTGACCTCATGCTTGCGTAACAAGCATTTTATGGACTGAGGCAACTCTCCAGTCCAGTGACTATGTTAAAGTTCTGGGAAAGTAGGGTTTGGCTAATAACTGACTCATAGAAAGACTCAGAAGCTGAAGGAGAAATCAGAGTAGAAGTATAGTTAGATGAGCCTGGTGGATGATGTTGGGCACAGGCTGCTGAAGGATCCCCAGATGTGGAGATGCAGGCAGGTAGACAAGCCAAAGACCCAGCCTATGCAGGGGACTAGGTTATTACTATGTTCACCAGGGAATCCATCTAAGTTCATTCTGTTCTCTTCAACCTATTAAGGCTTCACCATGCTCAAGTTTCATCCATGCTAAAGGGAAACAAATAGACCAGTCAAGAAATAAGCACACTTCCCTCTTGACAGGCAAGCATTACCAGTTTAAATTATCTCCACTTTGATCTGCCTCCCAACTTGTGTGCATGCTGAAGGTTATATCTTTCTCCACTCGTGAGATGGCTTCCCATGAGGACAGGTGCACTCTCGTTGCTGTTGCTAAGCCTCAACAGCACACTTCTGAACGTATCGTATCCTCGCCCCAGCAGCCAACCTCAGTGACCACTTCCTCTTCCTTGATCAGACTCCTCCCTCTCGCGAGTTTCTCTGTAGCCTTGCTTTTCCACGTTACATTCCTTCTCTATCTACTTCTTACTACAATAGAATTGATCCTACTGGGTTTGGAGGGTAATCAATCTCTCATGATGTGTTCCCCTCGTGAGATGTAATTCATTCTCTTGGGTTTCAGACACAAGTGAAAATGACACCTGGCCCAGATGAACTTCACAGATCTTTTATCAAGCAAGTCTCCACTCTTGTGTCCATGAAGCTGTTTCCTGGACATCTCTTCTGGGTTATCTCTGAGCACATATACCACACTGATGCTCATAGGGGCAGTTTTGATCTGAGAGACTAACTAGAAACTGACAAGGGCCAAACTACACATAGCAAAACTTCCTATAGGTAGAGAAGAGGCTTCAGAATCACCTGTCACAGGCCAGAAAGATGGCAGAGAGGCTAAAGGCACTTGCAGCCATGCCTGACCACCTGACCTGAGCTCCATCTCCAGGTCTTACATGGGGAGATGGAGGAGAGTAAGGGGAGAATCCACTTCTTTAAGTTCTCCTCTGACTTCCATGAGCATCCACAGATAGATAGATAGATAGATAGATAGATAGATAGATAGATAGATAGATAGATAGACGCAATTAAAATAGTATCACCTGCCATGAGTAAATAACAAAACTGAAATAATTCTCTGAAGAAAATATTAGGCTTTTTAAAAAAGATTTATTTATTCCAGTATATAATAAATATAATTTATTTTATATATTTAAATATATTAAGTAATATATTTAATATAGAATATACAGTATTCTGCCTGCATGTGTACCTGTATCCCAGAAGAAGGCACCAGATCCCACTGCAGATGGTTGTGAGCCACCATGTGGTTGCTGGGAATTAAACTCAGGACCTCTGGAAGAAGAGTCAGTGCTCTTAACCACTGAGCTATCTCTCCAGCCCCCATGCTTTGTTTTTGAAGTTAAGGTAAAATACACCTGATAGTAGCAAAAAATAAAAAAGAGAAAAATATTATTGCTTGCATGTTGCAAGGAAGAGGGCCACTTGTTTGTCCACCTGGTTAGCTTACACCCGAAATAACCACACAGAAACTGTATTAATTAAAACACTGCTTGGCCATTAGCTCTAACTTCTTATTGGCTAACTCTTACATGTTAGTTTAACCCATCTCCATTAATCTGTGTATCACCGTGTGGCAGTGGCTTACTGGGGATTCTAACTGGCATCCATCTCAGGCGAAGGATCCATGGCTTCTCTGACTCTGCCCTTCTTCCTCCCAGCATTCAGTTCTGTTTTCCTCGCCTACCAAGGCCAAGCCAG